TGTGCTCTATATGTGTAATAAGAATTGTAATGCATTCTGCTGTCATGTATTTTAAAAAAATAAAATCAATTAAAAAGAAAAATAGTAAGTGCTCAAGAAAATGTTAAATAATACTGTCAAATGCCCTTCTCTCTGTGCACAAAGTAACCATTTCGTAAACAACTGCTGAAAGGCAATGAATAAAAACATGATGTCTTTTTTTAAAGAGGATAAAATTATTCATGTGATTTCACACACATGCACGCATGCATGCACACACCAGTTGTGCAAAGAGAATAGCCCGTCTGCTCAACTTCTTTCTAAATTGTAAAAAAAAAAAAAAAAAAAAAACCGAACATACTAAAGATGAAATGAAGTATATGTGGCATCCACAATGTGCCAGTAACAGTGGTAAGCACTGCGCAGATGAGTTGGCATTTAAATTCATTTAAATCAATGTATCTTTCCCAGGTCCCAAATATGTCTGCCTTGATCCTCTCTGATGATAACAGAGATCAAGTCATAATAGTGACCCTAGCTAGAGTGACTCACTGCCTCCACCCAATATGTAAAAGGGGCTGCTAGGTATAAATGATGGATCCATGGCTGGTGCTGGCATCATTAGCAGAGGGGGAAACTATCTTTCATCATTTGAGCTTTCCCTAAGTAAAAGAGAAAAGCAAGGGTTTTAGAATCTAAATCCATTTCCTTCCCCTAGAAGTGAAACAATTTACAGAGCACAGGACATCTGTCTGATATTCAATTAGGACATACATAGTCAGTAAAATAATAAAAATAGCTCTCATTTATTGAGGACTTACTTTGTGCCAAGCATTGCATTAAATTATTCACATACTTTGTCTTCTTTAATCCAAACAAACGTCCCAGTGTGGTAATGGGCTTGTGCTAGTCCTAGGTAAATAATCACCCCCTCCCATCCCACCACACTCCAAGGACTTGGAATTTTCTTATTGATGGAGAGATCACAAAGCCCTCACTGTCACTCCATTCCTGCTTCTGCCACAGGTTAAGGAGCCCCTATAACCAGCACCTATGGACACAGAGAGACCACCACACCTATGTATCCACCAAACTTCCTGGACCCATGGAGTCTCTGGCATTCCTACTGGCAGCCAAAAGAGGGGAATGAGAAATCCAATAGGGACATTCAAAGGGATCAACCCCTAAGGTAGATTCTGGCCAGTGGGAGACAGGATATGGCAAAAGGGCCCTTTCTCTTCAAACTCCTATAAAGAGCAAGATTTAAGCTCTTTTGTTAGAAAACTTCTGTTCAGTCTCTATATGCCTCATTCACTTCAATCTTCAAAATACATTCCTTCCTTTTCTCTAGGGATCTGATGAGAAGAAAATGAAATAAAGTAGTTAAAAGCACTTGCAAAGAGGGTCTATTCTGAGACACAGTGGTTCTGTCAGCCTCTCTGGAGATGCCTCACAAAACCTGCTGTGCTTTGTCTCAGGGCTGTGGCTTCTCTGTAATGCATTTTCCTTTATTACTTCCTTGGGTCTGTCCCTCTCTTTCATTTCTAGAACTGTACCTCTCCTTCCCCATCACCACCAAAGATTAAATAAATAAAGCATCAACACAAAAGTCCATGCTTCAGATTCTACTATCCAACAACCTAGACTAGACATGTAGGCAGTGTTTCTATTCTGTCCAATTTTTCCAGGCTAACGTTGGACAAGAAAGGGATATCTGGTGGAAAGGCAATGGGGCAAACATTCCCTTATTGAAGATGACATCCTTCACAATCCCCTAGGGTGGGTGGTTCTGCCTATAAAATTGTCTTAAGTTGTAGTGGGTATGAGGGATCAGGAGAGGGAAAACATGCAGGAAGATATAAGAACCTTCTTTTACCTAAACTAAGCATGTCCTACCAACCCAGTTCTTACTGAAACCCCTTGGTAGAAAAGAATGCAAGAAACTCTGAACTTCACTAATAACCAGGTCAAATTTCAGAATTTAAATCCCGGTTCAATTGAGTGCAGATTTTGACTTTTCAACCACAGTGTTACTTGCAAAAGTAAACAGGTTCACTCTTATTCTCTGGAGGGCAAAAGCAACTTCACTGGGTAGAAGTAACTGAAACGTAGATTTTCACTCATTTAAAGGAATTTGCTGATCACTTAATGTTCTCTAGCCATGGAATGGTTGCCTATTGGGTTGGTAACAGGGGTATTTTCAAATAGAAAAACTGTATCACAAAGTCTTATTTTGATAGCTAGTGTCCAGTGATGCCTGTCTCCTAATGATGCCTCCTAGTATTCATGCTTTTGTATCAACCTTTGTGATGAATCACCCTATATCAGCAAAAGAATATAGAGGAGGTGACAGTGCATAGCTCTCAAGCTTAGGTTATAAGAAACATTGGAATTTCTACATCAGATTTTTGGATGGTTTGTACTGGGGGAAGCCCTAAGCCATCAAGTAAGAAAACCTTGAGACCACTATGTTGTAAAAAAGCCCACGGAACCACTTCTAGAGGCCTCAAAGAGAAAGAGAGAGACAATAGTCAGACATAGAGACAGAGACACAGAGAGAAATTTCTGTTCCATTCATCTTAGTTGATGTGTTAGCCATATAAATAAAGAAACCATCTTGAACATGCAGCCATGTCAAGCCTTACAGGACTTTAGCTCCAGCAACATGTGAGATCCCTAGGTGATAATCATCCAGCTCAGCCTGTTCAACCCATACAACCCTGAGAGATGATAAAATACTGCTCCTAGCCACCAAGTTTTAGGGAGTTGGTTATATAGCAATTGAAATCCAAAATATCATCAAGCTCTACATGTCTAGAACTAGTTCCATTTTTTCTCCACTTGTTCTCAGCTTCAAAATAGTCCCATTTTTTTAGCTTTATTAATCATATGCCCACTCCCAACCCTTTAAATCTTCTATAAATGACTTAAGGACAGTAGAAATGATTGAAAGTGACTCATCACAGCAGAGATATGCCTGACAGACTGCTCCTTCCTAGACCATGGCTATGGACTCTGCTTCTAAAGTTCTGGGACTACATAGTCTCTGCTTAGTCCCAAATCTGGTCTTCTGGCTTTTTAAGGATTATGTGATAGTCTCATTTCCTTCCAATAAAATCATAATTTTGCCTATATTATTCAGAGAGGGTTTCTGCCAATTGCAACCCAAAACAGCAAATGTTATTCCCTCTGGCCATGACAGGAATCTCGACATCTACTTGGTTCCTCCTCCCACTGCCATAAATCTAACTATTCATGGAGTCTTTTTAATTCTATTTCTAAACAGCTCAAATCTCATCTTTTCTGTCACCTCTGGCTACTGCCTTAGGTCGGGGCCTTAGCATTTCTACAGTTGTTCAAATTCACCCAGTGCTCCCCACGATCCCCTCCACACAATCAAAATGAGCCTTGAAAATGCAAAGCTGTCATGGCACACCTGCATGCACCCCTTCAATGGACCTTCACCTGAAGATCAAGTTCAAAACTGGTATTCTCTGCTCTGCCTCTGTAGCTTTGTCTCTCTTCACTCTCCCACATTTGACTTCACCAAGTCAGATTTTTTGTATTTCCCTAAATAATACCTGACTCTTGGCATTTGTAAATGCTATTCCTTTTTCCTGGAATGTGCCCTTACCTTCGTCCACTTAGGAAACAATCACCCATAAAGACTAGTTACCACCTTCCAGAAGCCCTGTTTGACCCTTTGATGTTGATTCACGGGCTTCTAATCAATGCTAAGCTGCCCAACAGCGTAAGACTAAATATCCCATACTATAACTTGGTTCACTTATCTCTCTTCCTCATTTATGCCAAGATCTTCAGAGAACTATAAAGTCTCCCGTTTAATCCCAATTTCTTGCTCTCTGCCTGGCTCACAGCAAGTGTTCTAAAAATATTTCATGAAATACTAAAAAAAGAAAAAAAAATTTGTTCACCACTATATCTCCATCTCTTGCAATAACACTTGACAAAAGGTATAGGCTCAATAAATATTCATTAAATAAATGAAGGGATAAGTGAATGAACAAAGTGAACTGAATCATCACAATGGAGAAAGATTTGTGAATAGGCAAAAATGTCAAACCACAGGACCTTTAATATTCTATCTCACAAGCCCCAATGATCCAGCCCCGGCTATCCCTATGGTTTCATTTCTTACTGCCCTCTCCTTACTCAGTCTATTTCAGCTCCTCTGGTATCCTTGTTCATCCCTGAAAGTGTCAAGTAAGCTCTCATCTCAAGCTGTTTGTACTTGCTTTCCCTTTCCCTGGAATTCTTGTCACTCACATAACTCTATGGCTGACTCCCATGCCTTATCCAGGGCTTGATTCTAAAATGACAACCTCAAAGAGGCCTTCCCAGACCACTCATCCCCACCCCAGACCTCTATCCTTTCAGTCTACTTCATGATTTTAGAATAGAATTTGTCCTTATATGGTATATTTGTTTATTCTCTTACTATCTAGCTCACTGGACTGCAAATAGTCGAATGATAGAACGTTTTCATTCACTGCTGTATTCCCAAAACCCAGGATAATACGGGAATACAGAATTTATTTAATGCACGTTTGTTGGACAATTACTGAATGAAGTCTATGGTTCTATACATCTTATTTCATAGGAGCAGGTGTACAGAAGACAAGGCATCTTCTAGCCATCATTAGCCACTGGGAGTAGAGCTGGCACTGTTACAGCTAGCACCATAGACCATTTCCTCTGACACCAACTGGAAACCCTCCCCCAGGGTTACCCAACTTCACTGTCTCACAGAAGCTGCTAACTCTCCACTCTCACATCTTTCCTAAGGCTTCCTCCCGGGCACCTGATCCACAGCTGACTGTAAGCTAATCACATACTAGTAGTGACTGGGTGCCCCCATCCTCGACTCCCGCCCACTGCAGAGGGCTTTGTCCACCAGGAACCCGTCCAGGCCAACGAGCATGCTCAAGAACCTCATCGAAAGCCCACACACCTATCTCTTCACTCTCCCAAAGTGACAGGAACATAAGATTAAAACTTACTCGGCATTCCCTGCAGCTCTTGGTTAAAATCCGCTGGCCTTCTGCAAGAACTCTTCCTCCATAGATACATTTTGCTGTAATAAAACAGAAAAATGGGTCAGTTATTCATGCTGTGCAACAAAACGTCAGAGGTGCCATCCAACTCTTATAGATTCCCCAGAAACATAGATTCCCTGATTCTAAGCAATTACAGACCTCCTTGTCTAAAGCCAGACGTGGGAATAGTGTGGGGGATAACCTTTGAATTCCCCAGTCAGGCCTATCTCGATCATGTTCATCTTGCCTTCACACCAAGGATATATAATTATTTTATTGCAGCTGCCAAAGGAATAAAGAAATGAATTAATGTATTAAGGGGTTAGAACAAGGAAGAATTGGTTGCCATCAACAGAGTACAATTAGTAGTAATTTTGACTGTCACTCCAGCTATAAAATGAAAGGGGGTTCAGCTATGCCCCATTCATCCGAAAATGGTGGCCATAATGGAGAAGGATGCCATTTATTTTTCCTTGTCAGTATGGCAGGTAAGTGCTCTTAGCCTATGTGTTTTTAAGACACTCAGAGACAACTGAGAAATACAAGCCAAACTAGTAAATTGCTTTGTCAATGTGCTAGAGAGACTTCTGTAGAAAGGTGAGCCTAACAGGCTAACAAGGAGGGCAGGGGGTAAAAGTAGGCCTGTAGAAAATTTCAAAGAGGAGCATAAATGGAACTTCAATTTAGATTCCACTGGTACTCGGGTCCTTAACTTGCTGACTCACTTTAAGCAAGTGCAAAACACATCAATTTGATATGACCCTAATGTGAGTCCACCAGTCTCTAGCCACTTCAACAGGAACCAGGAAGCAAAGGCCTGATTGCTCCCTCTCCTGCCCTGATGAGTGCCTCTCTGGCCCTAACTCTCAGGAGAAGCAGAAGTAAAGACATGCACAAGCAGTAAAAAAATCTCTCTCCCACAAACTCACTGTCAATCTTATAGAACCACCTCATCTTAAAGGGTCTCCATTTCTATACCTGTTAAAAACAGGCTGATTACACGTGGTAATTTCCTACTTTCACTGTCTTCTGATTCTCGTGGAATGTTTAAGTATGTATATCCTCTATAATTAGCTGATCCATCCCCTTCTTTTAACATAGGAAGAGAAAAGCCCAGAGACACTAGTTTACTTAACATCATAGCTCTGCAGTAGATACTGTGGTGTGCTACCCCAAGCCCTTCCATGACCAAAAGATACATTCCAATGGTTGTTGGAACAGTTGGCAGCTAGCAGCTCCCAGCTGACTACTTAGAACTTATCCTAGGTTATAGAGAGTCACCTTGCCCAAGGTCAGTTCCCCTTCCTGGGATAGCCTATATCCAATAAGTGGTAGATGAAAGTGGTACAAAGTTCTAGATCCCTTACTCCACTCAGGACAACTCTTAAAGGCAATTACAGTTCTGAAGACCCCCTACAGGAATAACTGAGGTGTTTGTAACTGCATTGAATTCAACTTCTCCTCCTGCCCAATTCTGTTTCTTTCACTACCTCATTCCTACCCCAGGATTTACCCTGGAAGCACTTCCTAATGAAGCATATGGAAATCTCTGCTTCAGAGTTGGTTTCCCTCTCAGAACCTGGCCAGTAGCAACCCCACGCCCCACCCAACCTGTTCTGCTCTAGTAGCCCCTCTCAGTGAATGGAACCAGCATTCCCCTTGGCTACCACACCCTGGCACCTGGGGTCCTTCCAGCTTCTGCCTCTCACTCAACGTTGTGTCCATGCAGCGCCCAAATCCTAGCAATGCTCCCTCCTTAAGTTTCTCAAGTCAAATTACTTTGCTCCATTCCGCACTCTGCCCCTGACACTGTCTTCATTGAGGCCATGATCGTCCCTCTTCTTTAGTATTTCCTGAACCTCCTAACTCTCCTATGTTCTGATCTCAGGCTTCTCTATACAGCAAGCAGGCATATTTTTGATGTGCAAATATGAGGTCCTCTGTAAAATCATTATGGATCCCTGACACTTTCAGAATAAAGAACAAATTCCTTAATTAGCACACAAGGCCATGTGCAACATTGCTCTTATCTCCCAAACTTTATAACTCACCAAGTATGTGCTTTCACTCACCCTCCCAAACATTCATACCTCCACATATGCTCTGGCCAAAATTTCTTCTTCCTTCCAGGATTTGCATATAGTTTTCTCTGCTAGAGGGACATTCAGCCTTGTCCATCTTCCCCTGGCACCTCCTGACCTATATACCCATCAGTTTCAGTGCGGGCATGATTTCCTGAAGATGTTGTTCTTCACCTTTAACGCTGGCTAATTGCCCTCAGTTTGTGTTTCCATTGCACTTTGGACCTAATCCTGCAGAGCACCCATCACATTACATCTTAATTTCCCATTTCATTATTCATCTCCCCTGATAACTGTAACCTCCATGAGGATAGGAACGATTCATAACTTTATCTGCAGCATCAAGCCCAGTGGATCTCTGGCCTTATTGTTAGTAATGATTAATAGTTCTAAATATTAATGAGTTCTACTTAGTCACAAAACAAAAAAAAAAAAACAGTCAAATTCCCAGCTAAGAGTTAACTCTGCAATTTAACACAATTTCCAACATTAAAAGTAGATACTGAGGTTTTAAAACAAAAACAATAAGATTGGAGAATCAATACAATTCCCTAAATTGAGCCTTTTACTCCTTTCGTTAAAAAAGGAAAACCATCCCTGATTATCTTTTATGCCTCTGTTTTCTAGATAAGCCATTGATCCTAATGATGATCTGGATTCCCTGATTTGCTTGCATAGAGACACCACATCTCCAAAGACCTGGAATTCCTATCTAATAAATTCCCATACTCCCAAACACAGCTGCTGCCAACTTGGCAAGGTGGCTCACTCCAGAGTGACAGTTCTGCTAAATGCACTGCTGTCAAATCTGCCATCTGCTTCTTGGCCCATGCTGGGAAGTACAGAAATAGACTTTTCTTCCTCCTTTGCCCCTTGCAACTCCCACGATGGTATTAACACAATGGCTACCCTGTCTTAAGACATTTGCTTGATTCGTTTTTCCTCTTGGACAGATTCACCCCATAATTCTTATCTGGAGAGAAGAATGTCTCACTGGGTCACATCCATCCCTCAAATTTACCAGTCCAGCATAAAATCAAATGTCCACTGAACTTTATGCCTTTACCTAGGAGGGTGATTTAGGGACTGGCAAATGATGTCAACATGTTACTACAAACCCCAGTCATTTGCAACTGTGCACTGGTGCAGAACATGTATATGATTAGGATGCCAACTACCTATGAAATTATCTCAGACAACTTTCAGGATCACCACTGGAGGTCACAAGAATTCCCTTTGCTTTCCCATAGTCATTCCTACATTCTATGACAGTGTCCCTCCCTCCCTGCCACTGCCCTCCATATGCTTAACATCAGTCCTCATTATCCAACCTCTTGATCTAGAGCCAAAAGGCTTATTTTTGATGTCTGAGGAAATTCAAGCATAAGGTGAGTCAGGCTCTGGTGCCTTTGGCTGGGACATCTGGGACTTCATTTCAACAGCTTTCAGTGTGAGTAGAAACGTAAATGGATACCTGAAGCCGTTCATATCACACCAGGGACATGCAAACTAGAGTATGTCACAGTGTCCAACCATGAAATTGATACCCAGCACCAACACACACTTCTCCATGATGTCAAAAACAAACAGATTGGGGATTTAGAGAAAGAGTTAGGCAGTTGTATCTTTTTACATCCCAGATATCTGGTCCTTCAAAATTGACCTTGATTTTTTGAGTGGGGGGGGGTGGACACTTTTGCCATTCGGTTGCACACTGAATAAACAATTGACAGGAATGGTTTAATGTCCCTGTCACATGTAGATATGAGATTGCTCTGTCTTTATTAAGGTACTTGTACTCTGCACACAGTCCAGTCATTCCTTGGCACTCAGAACCTAGAATGTCAACACTGACGTTCTACTTTACACTTTAAAGAAGAGTGGCAGATCAGAGGGTTTGAACACTCAAGGATTTGTCCTTCCTCAGTTAGCTAACTCATAGCCCCAGCTTTAAACACGACCTCTCTGAGCAAGGCACCCACATCAAACTGGCTGCCCTTCAGGCATCTCCAACTCAAACATGCTGAAGAGAATGTATAACTCCCCAATCTACTTTCTCCACCTGCCTTATATCTGTTAATCGTCCTATGAGTCTCCCACAGGCTGTTGTTCAAAACCTGGCAACCTCTCCCTCACAGACATTCATGCAAAACAATGCTTATCGAATATCTATCCCTTGCCAGGTTCTCTGGCTGTCACTCACATCCACTCCTGCCTTTGTATCTCTCTAGGCAGTGCCTGACTGTCAGCCTCATCACCTCTGCCTGGAATTTGCCCAAATCTTATACCTAACGCCCCTGCCTCCTGCTCCGTGGATGCAGTGGTCTTTCGAAACACACTCCTTTAAGTATGCCACAACCCTGCGTGAAAACCTTGCTTTTACAACCAAAATCAATGCTGTGTCTATTTCCATGATTTTGCACATGCAATTCCTCTAGCAAGTATGTTATTACACCTAGAAATTCCTACTCATTTATAAATATTCTGCTAAGCTGTTATCCGTGAACTTTCACACACACACACACACACACACACACATTTCTGATGAAGTTAATTACTCCCTTCTCTGTGCCATCTCTATCTCACATCATGTTCACATTACATAATGTTCTTTATAGTAATAGAGATGATGCATGAAGTGAATAAAGCAGATAGTTTAAGAGCATCAATTCTATAGCCAGTCTGCCTAGGCTTCACCTAGATCCCTTGGGCAAATTACTTTTCCTCTCCATGCTTCAATTCCTCATCTGTGAAATGAGAATAATAGTGGATCCTACTACCTTGAGTTGTTGGAAGAATTAAAGGAATGAATGCACATAAAATGACCTAGTTCCATTCCTAACACAGACTGAATCATCTACACATCTCTACTGTTGTACCCAAAGTTGAGAACAACATTTGGGATAAGGGACCTCAGTAAGGATTACTGAATGACTTCAGTAGACTATAATCTTCATCATCATCCTCAAACCATATTGGCAATTTCATTTCTACTTCTTACCTGTAAACACCATGTATTGTTTTCAGACTACCTCCTTTTCCCTCTACCACTTCAATTTCTTTACAATTTCTGTTTTGCATAGCTGAAAGGTTTCTTCTCCTCCTTTCCTCCTCCTTCTTATCTCTGGTAGTTCTCAAATATATCTACCAAAAGAATACAGATCTTGGGAAACTGCTCCCTGGAGATTCCAATTTATGGGTCTAGATGGGGTGCAGAAAATCTCCAGTTTAAGAATTTCATGGAGTGGGGAGAGTAATGTGTGCTAGCTATGCTCAGCATGCCTTGAATAGAGCAGACACCCAATATGCTTTTAAGGAATGAAATTCCTGCACCATATTCTGGACCACTATGGACACCTAGACAAAGTTCTTTCATATTTCCACCCAGCTGCTCTCCTTTGTAAGTGCTCCTGTGACCACAACAAGTACACAAACATTTAGAAAGCCAGCAGACAAAACATCTGTTTGCTTGTTTCACCACTGGGAATTGAACCCAGGGACACTCTACCACTGAGCTACATCCTCAGTCCTTTTCATTTTTTATTTGAGACAGGATCTTGCTAAGTTGCTTAGGGCTCCACTGAGACTGCAGTTGCTAAGTTGCTGAGGCTGGCCTTGAATTTGTGATCCTCCTGCTTCAGCCTCCCAAGTCAGGGAGAGTCATCACAGGTGTGGGTCACCCTACCCCGAAACAATGTGTTTTATGTATTAGCTCTTTTTGTCTGAGTCAGAACATACCTCCTCGTGGTGTGACTAGAATACTGCCTCACCTAAACCCAAAGAGAATCTTAGAAAAAGGGTTTTGGTCACATAAAAGAAATTTACTTGAGGCAACTCTCAGGAGAAATAGAAAAAAAAAAGTCAAAATAAGGAACTGAACCAAGAGAAAATAAGTATCCAATAAATAATGCCTTCAACTATATTTATAATAGCATTGAATGTGAATGGATTAAATGAGCCAATTAAAACAATTCAAATTGTCAAACTAGTCTAAAAAACATGATCTAACTGTATGTAATTCATACCAGTTATACTTTTTTTTCCTCTAACATTTGTCAGTTTTAATTGACAAACTATATATAGACATTTACTTAAAGTATACAGTATGATGTTTTGAAATATGCATACATTGCAGAATGGCTAAAATGACTAGTTAACCCATGCATTGCCTCATGTACTCATTATCTTTGAAATGCATAACCAAAGTAAATATTCTTCATCATTTTTTTCTGGTGTGAAGAGATATAAAAACTTCTAGAAATTCCACTGACTATCTGCTCTCATCCCCCAGCCGCCAACTATCCAACCGCTGTAGCCATCTTCTAGAAAGCTGTGAATATCCACTATGGCTCCTCTTCCTGAAGCGTTCCACCAGTGTCTTCTCTGCTCTAACAGTGCCCCAATACACAAGTCTGCTATACTACACTTACAATTCTGCACACTGAAACCCAGGTCTCTAGATGAAAGGCCAGTTCCTCTGATGGGGGAGGGGGAGGGCTCTTCCATCACTATTCCAGGCACCCAAGCTCAGTAACTGCCTAATGCATATTTCTATTAAAAACTAGTAAGAGATGAAAGCCTTTCAGGCCAGAGGTTCTCAACCTTTTAATTACCTGAGGTACACTGTATCATTTATTTTTAATTTTTTCTTGAGTGGTATTCTTAATAATTTATTTGTTTTCTCACTTTATTAAACTCTGAACATGTCAAACTATCAATCAGAGCTGCTGAGAAAATTAGTGCCAACTAAATAAATTGCTATGAATTCCATAAATGACAAAAAAAACCAATGTTTTAGTTAGCATGTATACCAACATCTTGGTAAAATTGAGAAACTTACTGAGATAATTTTTAAAACATAAATCTCTCAAAGAATTAGAATAAAGAAAAATGACTATCCCACAGAAATTTAGTGAGGAGTTAATTTAATAATGTGTATCCAGGTCCTTGAAAATGTTAGTGTTTGGCCCAATAATTCTATTCCAGGAGAATTCTATCTTAAAGAAAGCAAAAATGTACCAAAAAAATGTTTTCTGTATGCAACATACTACTGAAAAAGTAATTTAGAATAGCAAGAAGTGGGAATCAACCTAGATATCCAACAACTGAGGAATAGTTAAATAAGTTATGCAACAAACAGTGGGAAACCATGAAACTCACTAAAATGATATTTATACACTTTTTCAAAAATACACTTAAGTGATAATCGTAAGTCAACAAAATAGGATCTAAATTGTCTGCTCAGTATGACCTCCTCAACTGTACACACACAAAAAAAAAATCTCTTGAAATGCAATCTGCTAAAATTTCAGGAGTGATTTTTTTCCAAATGACAGTATTATGTAAATTCTCTATCTTTACCTTTATCCTTCTCTGTGTTTTCAAATGTTATATAATAAAGATAGTGCTTTTATGGTTTTAAAGAAAAGCAAAGCAAAAACATTAAAAGCTAAAATACAAAACATCTGAAGGATCCGTTGCTCCCATACCCAAACATCTCCCAAGTATTCACAAATCTGCATGGGGAACTCAAAATAACAGGGTAAAATAATTTCATATTTTTTAACAAATTCCTAATCTTTTTTCAACTGCTTTCCTTGATGACAGTTATATACAAAATCAACATGGGAAAAAGGTAACCTGCAGCTACTCATAACTATCTTTCTATTATAGGATCAAACTATAAATTCAAGATCTGGACACCTGAGCTCGCTGTACTATCAGACAACACCTCCCAAAGCCCTTGGGACATAAATAAGAAAGCTCCTCCCTCTAGAATAACCCCAAGGACACCTTCCAGAACTCAGGTACTATGCCTACCACGACAAGCAGAGATATTCCAAAGTTCCTTTTGAAAGAATTCAACAATATTTGAGCTGGTGTGACCAGACCAGCTATCCGTTTCCACCATTGCAGCAGGTCACAGGCTATTCCTGGCAGTGTGACCACTGTGCCTTGAAGGCTGACTGATGTTAGCATGCGTCTTTGATGACTAAATGATCTTGAAAGCTATCCATGGGATGCCACACTTCTAACCAGAACCCTCCTCTTCTGTTGGAGACCACAGGGTCTGATGAAAAGGCTACAGGCTTTGCAGTCAGCACAACTGGTTCAGTAACTCACCCTGCCACTCACCAGCCTTGTGACCTTAGCAAATTGACTTACCTAAGCCTAACCTTCCTGTAAAATGGGGTAAAAGCAATACCTCCCTAACACGTTGCCATGAGAATGCAAGAGACTGGTAGAATTAAGACACCCAGCACGGTACACGGCACATAGTGACAGCCCTCACTCCTGCTGCCTCTGTTCATTTCACTGCTTCATGTGAAGCAGTGCCCTCTGCAACACAGATGAAAACTCGTTTTCAAATCATATTATGTGAACCAGCCAACACTGAAGGAAACTGTTTCAATATTTTGATTGAATACCATCCTGAAAATTCTAACAAAGTTCCCTTAATAACAAGAGAATCTTGCCAAAACACAGAAATAGGTACTTGATCATTCAAAATTAGGAGACAGAAGCACATGAAATTTTGGAGTTGTAACTGTACAGATCATCCCCACCCAGTGGTTTGATGACAAGTGATTTAACCTCTGTGAACACAAGTTACCTACACATAGAATGGGAGAACAGTAATCACAGGTGATATAAGGGGTGTTTTTTGAAGGAAAAAAAAATCCATGTAATAATGTCTGCTGCATCTGCAAGTAATTAAAACATCAGGCTCTTCTTATTATATATTTAGTACTACAGCAACTGTCGGTGCTTCATTTTATCAATGTCAATCAGTTGGATCCTGAAAACAGAGGAAAAATAAATCTCAAAGCACAGACGGACAGTGTGACCATCAGTTAGTACTTACGTCTGCAGACCTTACAACACTGGCCAGCGATGTGCACCGGGAGGGATTCAGAAGAGCAATTGAGAGGGGGACAGGACATCCTTCGGCATTCCACAGCGCCACTCTGAGGAAAAGAGGACAGGGAAAGAAATCTCAGTGGCATCCTTTGAAACTCTCCTGTGGTGTTGAAAGTTCACATCTCATCCCAAACACTCATCAGGGAAACAGAAGTAGTATGGGAATTCCCAATCCACTCCAAGACCATAAATCAAGCATTTTCTCTAGCCCGAAGGAACCTCTGTCACCTCAATTACTTTTCTGATATACATCACTGGCTTCATCCCACCTGCCCATGTGGGCTAAGTAGATTAGGCAGAAAACAAAAAGCTATTTTTACAAGAACATAAATAACACCTTTTGCAGACCCTGTCAATCATTTTTGAGACTCTAACAACCCATTTTGTATTTTCCTGGATAAACAATGGCATTCTTCAGATATTTATCAAGTAATTTCAACTCAACAGGGTTTACATACTAATTTTTGGAAGGGGCTCTCATAATTCTCTGAACCAGATGAAGGAGCATACAAATAATGAATACCCTAAAAGGCAGGGAGTAGGGAAAATATCTTGCAAATTCTCTGAAAGAGATGACAGCTTACAAGATACAACAAAAACACGTAGAGACTAATTAAACCCCACCTTTTAAATGTGATTCTGGCAGAGAAAAGTTGAAAATAAAGCTAACCATTAGGTTGTTTGAAAATCAAAGGAGTTTGTTTCTCCTTCTACACTACAACTCCCAAATTTCAAACAGTAAGGTCCTCATGATAATATCAAATCAGAGGGTATCAAAGAAAGTAAATTTCAGTTGCCAAACATTTACACTACAAATGACACTGTTCCAGCATCATTTCACAATTGCTCAGATTGCTAAGGAGGAGTAGGTATAAAGGAATTAACATTACATATTAAAGAACACGATTACATTATAATTAGTGAGCCTGTCCCCTCAAAACTGTCTTATGCTATTTATTTACAAAGGGGCTTACTTTGCATGTGCAGTTCCTGCAGTGGTCACCGTCAACCCAAGAGTCTTGGTCTCGATAGAGCAGTCCGCTCACTTGACAAGTCTTCTCACAGTGACAGTTTTCCAATTGACTAAGTCTTGTCTCTGCATAATTTAGCTGCGGGAGGAAAAAAAAAAGAATTACTGGGCATAATAGTGTAATTTAATTGTATTGTCTTAATAAAGCAATAGAAACAAGAAAAAAAAAATCCAAGCAGGAGGAGAGAGAGCATATTCAGTTCAGTGTTTCATAGGGAATCTGTATCTTTTTTTTTTTCCCACAAGGTGAAATCACTCTAAATTGAAGACATATTGGCTGGTATGGTCTAATGAACACCAAATGAGACATTAGACTCTATTGCAGGAACCTCACGGGTGTTCATAAAGGTATGTACTTTCAACTCCAGCCCACGCAGTGAAACATGGGTAACAAATGTGTTCTCAAGGACTGATTACAATGTTTACCGGAGATCTAATCAGAAACTCCAGGGCACTTAACATTTATCTCCCTCTGTCCTCTCCATGTTCTCCACATACTAACCAGAGTGTCAAAGTTTGCAAGCTAGGAAGTCACTGTCTAATATAAAAACAAAAAAATTCTGGGGGACCTGGAGCTAGGAAAACAAAGGTCATAGAAGGAGCTAATTTCTCTCTAGGGTGTGATCCCCCCAGAATGCCCCCATGAACTTCCTTTGGTGTTCAGATGAAGGTCATGGGTGATGAGCAAACCCCCAGTTGAGATCAGGATTTTGTAAAATAACCTTTTCCATTTTCTAGGCCACCCAATTGTTACCATGAATCACAGAGTCTTTGAATCTCCAGTTTTGAAGGGATTACTAAGTGGGGATGTGCACACTAAAGAACACTCACAGTGACCATCCACCATCTGCACGTCTCCAGAAGCAGGCATGTACGGTCCCCCTGAGGGAAGCCACTTTTTTCATTAGCTCTGGAAGTTTGAAACAACTTCCTTGGTTAGAGCTGTGACATCTCTCTTCCTTTTTCCTATTAGATCAATTTTGCCCTGTAATCCATCCTGAGAAACTCTAATTTTCAAATATTGGAGGATCTCCAGGCCTCACATCTGCTCTAGACCCCAATCAGTACCACCAGGTTTCCTTAACAGCTCCTTATGATAAGGTTCCAATCCTCCCTCCTGATCACTTTTCATCCAGCCAATGCAGTTTGCCTTCCAAAATACTGTGTGGTATTGACTGGGTAGCTAATTGTAGAGTGCTTGCCTACCATGCACAAGGCCTTGGGTTCAATTCCTAGCACCAGAAAAAAACAAACAAATGAAAATACAATGCAAAAAAAAAAAAACACCTGAATATGTCACTTTGGTTAGAACTGTCTTTTGTCATATCCGTATTGAATTCTACCCAAAAGCAATATTGCCCTGTGGTCCTTTCCCTCACATAAAGACTGCCATGACTGAGAAAACAATACCAGTTCCTACATCTTGTAGCTTCTTTTAATCTTCTCAACTGCACTTATGTCTCCAGGTCTTGAGTGTTCTCCCCATACAGGACATCAATTCCATCTTTGATCCAACAAAAAACTATTTTGAACCAATAGTTCAGGTCTAATGTTTTGAGTCTGGGGAATAACTATTCCTGCTATCTTTCGAGGTTAACCATAATTTCATTCCTTACATGCTCCTATAAATTACTCTCAACCACGCTATCCTTTGGAAATGAAACCCATGTGTAATTCCAACTTCTAGTTTGTTATTTAGTTTATTCTTTTCCTCCAAGGTTTTGCAACTTCTCAGGAAAACTTGCTCATTGTCTTTTATGGGTGGAAGCAAAGGGCAGAGGAAATAATAAATAGGATCTTAGACAAGCCACTTGCACCATGATCAGCCCCCAAGGAACTAAGAGTTGACTCTGCTTCAAATATCCACTTTTTGTGACTCCTTACAATATACATGATCTTCCAAAAAATGCATATTTCACTTAAAACTCTGACCTAATTATATAGTTACTAGGATCTATGGTAATTAGAATCTATGGGAAATCTTTAGGAAATCCAGATAAAATATGTTTCTAAGAGTTAAGTTAGCCAGTCATATATAGGTCAGAGATAATAAAAAGGAAAAACTTATTTATCACTGAATACCTTTATTCCATTTCTATGAACCCCACTAGTTTCTACATAAGGTAGTGACTGAAACATGACCTAGGATTTCACAAAAGAAGAATTGAAATAGATCAGCATGCCTCTTAAAAGTGGCTTAGAATAGGGTATCTGAGAGCAGAAGGGCCTGTCTCACTTTGAAAACCTGGGACAACTCTGGAGTCTATATCCCTTCAAGAAGGACACTTTCAAAAGTCTAAATAGTCCAAAATGCAATTATGTGTCTATCCAAGGTTCTTGAAAATCTAGGAGTTTGCTTTGGGGTTAATATCAGCAATTATCAGTACTGGTCCAACAAAACTGAGCTATGCTCATCTACAAAACTCAATTCCTAAGGAAAACATCAATTTCAATATAATGGATTCTGTCCCCCTTCTGAACTTTGTTTTTATTTTTAATATATTTAGCCTTTTCTGACAACATCGGAAAGCACTAATCTCTATAATAATAATAATAAGAGTGCATCAGACAGACGCAAAGGCAAAGGGATATTAAGTCAAAAAAGCTAATTTTTCAAAGGCATTTAATATGTAATCTTGCCTTCCCTGCTAAACCCTATAACAACAATAAAGGAGAAAAACAACTCTCTGAATCAAAAAATGAATTACATTTTCTGTCATTGGTATTATCATGCTGAATTTATACAAATTCATTTTCTAAAGCTATTTCTACCCTACCTGCCATTTTCTCCGAGAATGCTTGCAGATCCAGAGTAGATACGGTATCCAATCTACATCTCTATTCTGTTTTACCTCTGTCCATGCATTTATCTAAGCAACCATGGACTGAATCATTTATTCTTAACTCTACCCATTCAAAGATAGACAGCAGAGGCCTTTTTCACAGTAAGAGGTCAATGAATGGATCTGAGTACATTAGTCATTCGTAGATTGCTTTTTCTTTGAAATGCTATTTATTTGGAGTTCGCTATATAGAAGAGGAAAAAAGAAATCTTCCATTGTTAAACCTTTGAGCTTAATTGAAAAATCATTATTGAGCCCCTTGTAACAATGAAATCTCTAAATTAAATATGTTACAAGCTGAAATGCCACTTCAAGCGCTGCTTGATTAGCCTACACAGATTTGTCAAAGATTTAAACAAAAGTAACCAAAAAATTCCCAATCTCTAGCCTCTTCTTCCTGAACTTCAAAGCAGAGTAGGATTACAACACTGGGGGAGGGAGAGGGGTGTTGTGATCAGGACCTTATCACAATATACTTGATCTAGCCAGTGGGTAGTTCCCACAATAGCAAGACTTCGTGAAAGAATTTCAGAGGAAGCCAGGGGAGTGGTGGATTCTTGGGAATCACTAAGGTGTGAAGGAACAACAATACAAGGGAGGACTTACTACTTCAGGTAACTCTTTTTCACCTCCTCTGCCTTGAAAAAAAAAATGTAGTTTTACCAAAATCATAGGATTTCTTAAGAGGTCTCTTCTCTACCCTACCTCTGTCACCTGAAAGTGATTGAGTGCAATTCCTATGATCTTCCCTGGCTCAAGCAAGGACATAGTCATATACCAGTACCCCAACTCTGAAAGGAGAAAAGGAACCGTGAGCTATCCTAGGCAGACCCCTGGGCTGATCGGATATTCGTATCTATTTGGTTGCTCTGGCTGTGGCTACCAAGCCCTGTCCAGATTGTGCACTGGGCTTGCTCTCTGGGAGGGCTCAGGGTTTTCACTATGAATAGTGTGAAGATTTTCTGTTGCCTTTCAAGACTTCTCTGTACCTGCTCTAGCCCAGGGCCCAGACAGCAACTTGTAGTCTCTGCTGGTCTTTGTAATATCAAGTCATGGGGAAGGTATGCATTTTCTTTAGGATCATCTTTCCCTTTTTTCTAGGTTTAACAGCATAAATGACAACAGCCACCACTTATCAAAAGTCTGTTCTATGTCCTGTACCAAGCCTCACTCACCTATTCTCATGAAATATTTACAAAACCAGGAATAATTTTACCATTTAATTAAGGAAGAACAGCAGGTAGAACAAGTTTAATGAGTTGCCCATGGTTACAAACAATAAAAAAGTGACAAAAAGGGTACTCAGAATCAGATCAATCTGAGTCCAAAGCCCATTCTCTATCTGAGCTAATGAGTATATACCATCTTCATCATGGCTGCTGGACAGCTCAAACCAAATCTCCAAGCTTCATTCCAACCCCATAAACTAAGTCTTACCACAATAGGTTCATTTAACCAAAGGCAAAGGCTGAGTCCAGCTGGACTTGGTGCCTAAGAATTCTCTGCTTCTGGGGACCATATTTAACTTTTGGTTTGCCTCACATCTCCAGGTGCCATCTTCTTCAATTTGCCAAAAGACCAAATTACACTTCTGCTTCTACCAAGACTTCACTGATAGACCCAACTAAGATATTCAGTATAGAAATAAAAACTTCAGAAAATTATCACAAGGTTGACACAAAGAGATGAATGCCACAAAGGCCAAAACAAAGTAGCAGCAAAGATCCCAGGAGGCATGTGAAGCCAAAGGTGGCCTACATCCTGAAGGTTTCTCCTGAAACATGGAGCCCTTGAGTTTCCCTTTGGTGGCTCACAGGGTGTAGTGAGGCAGAACTGGAGATCAGGGTATGCCCAAGATGTGGGTTTTTTATACAAAGGTTAGTTCACTGTAAAGCTGAATGTATAGATGATCAGATACCCATCTGATCATCTATACATTCAGCTTTACAGTGAACTAAATGGAAACAAGCCTTGCACAAAAGCACAAAGTAAGTAGTTCCTACTCAGACTTGGCACTGGCTATAGGAAGAAAAAAAAAATTTTTTTTTTAATTCTTCCCTGATAATTCACCTGGCCTAGCCTAGGTTTGGAGATGGATCCTGGGCAGTGAGATAATATGGCATAGGGTGATCCTGAGTGATTCTGTCCAAAACATACACAATGTCAACATGCAGGACTCAAAGAATTCCCACAAATTTCCAAGGAAAAGAATAGCTCACAGCCAAAGGGTGAGATAAAAGCCCTTGTTCTTGCCCTAGCCTTTCTCCATAGGTTACTATAAGCTCTATTCACTTCCAACAGGTACATCTGAGAATTTTAGCTCAGCTTGGTAAGTGACCAAACATGCATTCATCTCTTCCTCTCTTTTTATTTCCTTCTTCTTCCTAACATCTCCATCTTCTTGCTGGTAGCATCTATCTCCTTTCCTCCACCACTCAGTCCCTCTATATATTTTCAATCTCTCTTTCACATTCTATGTTTTGCAAAATAAACTTTCTCAGTCATGAATCAACCTTCAGGATCTAAGTACCCGAGCACAGGTCCCAACTCTGTCATCCATTATCTTAGGAGAAACTACCTCACCTTTCTGGACCTCTTTGTTCTAATCTGTACAGTAGGCTAATAAATCAAATCTAGCTCACAGGATTTTTGTGAGGATTAAAGTGACAGTGCATATGTTAAAGCATTGGAACTAGCAAATAGTAAATGTTCAATAAATATCACCCAGCATGAGTGACTTTCCAGCTTCACATACATCAAGGGATGATAAACCCTTGACAAAGACCCATGGGATAAATTTGGTCTACCACTTATTTTTGTACACTCTGTGAGCTAACAATGTTTTTTTTTTTTACATTTTTCAATGGTTACATTTTAAGTTATTATAAATTATTATGTTTAAGAAAAACAAGTACATACACAATATCTTCAATTTTATGTCTTGGCTTACAAAAATCCTAAATTTACTAGTTGGCCTCTGTAGGAAAAAAAAAGGCCAACTCCTGTTCAAGATTCCAGTTATGCAGTGAAAATGGAAGTACTCAGTTGTAGAATTATAATTCTATGCACACTTTGGAAGAAGCAGACTTCTACGCCTGCCAAAGTGCTGGGGGGCAGCAGGAGGTTAGAAGGTGGATTAAACCATTTTCTGCTTGCAATTTCTCACAATTAAATATCTTCTGTCTCACAAATGCCCATTTTACATAATAATGTTTTGAGGATAGAGTTCATTGTGGCTCCTAGACAATGTATAGCTAAAAAGAAAAATGGCATTCCCTGCAATGGTAAAGAATGAGAAAGAAAAGGGCATCCTCAGAGCTGGAGAATGGAGAACCGCAATCACCTGAGACTGAGTGGCATGTTTCTTGTTCCAAAAATTTGATAGCATGCTAAAATATAATTAACAGTATTGAGATCAAGCTGCTCCAGACAATATGAAATAAAAGCCTCTATATGCCACAAGCTGGGATGGCAAATAATTGCTTGCGTTTCACATTTCCACTGCACTCTGAAGTGGAAAGCAAATGCCTTAGGTTTCGAGCCTCAGTCTCAATTTTTGTCTTACACAAGTATTCCATCTCTCCCTTCCAGACAAAAGGGGATTTCAGTTGGCCAAAAACTCTAGTTTGAAATAGAAACATTGTCTTCAATGGTATCATGCAAGGTCCCAAAATATGCCCCTACCTCCCAGTCACTTACCTACCCACCAAATTTTTTTTCCACATGCTATGGCTGAAGGCAGGGAGCAGTCATAGCTGCAGGTGGAATGGGATTAATGTATCATTTTCACTGTTATTAAAATTCTTCCTTTTGCAGAGTATAATGTCTCTTAGGCCCAACCTAATTCTTTCTTAGCCGTAGGCCGGAACTCATGTCCACAACTGATTGGTATCATAACAGCAGCATTAACCACATTTTCTTTCTTTTTTTTTTTTTCCTGTGCCTTTCTCTATGAGGCTCAGGGCTTTTCATTATAAATATACACTTTATGAATAAATATTAAGCCCCTAATTGTTTACAAGTTTGGTTCAGCCACTCAATATGAACATGTCTTGTTCATCATTGTCTCTTGGCACCTAACACAGCGCCCAGCAAGTAGCAAGTCCTCACAAATGCCTGCTGAGTGAAAACAGCAGTGATGCAGAATCATAAAAGCAAAGATGCTAAAAGGCAAACTTTGCCTTCTTCCCTATTTAACTCAGGACCAGTCCTGAAAGGAATCATACAATCGAAATTTGATATAATGCCCTCCTGGGACAGTAATCTGTTCCTAACAATAGCTATTTTGCCCCTCGTGATTACTGGCAATTATTCTTACATCCAAAATGCATTAGCTTATAAGCAGCAGTGGCTCTGACCATATATCATCTCACAGTGCTAGTAGTTTAATGGCCAATGGGCAAATTCCTTTTCCACTCTCAGAGAACCAACAGTGATACATATTGCCTCTTGCTTCCAAACATTTTTCAAGAAGAACATTTTGATAAAGCCTAATAGTATCAAAGACCTGAATGGTTATGTTTACTATAGGTGGTCCTATTTCAAGTAAGACTAAAACAGTTTTGCAGTAACATATTGCAGATGCCAAGGCTAGAAATATTTCCATTATAACATATCACTCTAAATTCCAGATAGGACACAGAAAGAAATGAAACATCACAAGTGAAATTTAGATACCTACTTTTGCAGTCATCTTGGCCAAAAGCTCCTGTAAATCCATTATTCCTTGCACCAGGCTTAAGAAATCACTGCAGGTTGGGCAAGCTCAATAAAGAAAATATAAAATTTATATTTATCTTCTGCTAGCATAAGAAAGAAAAATTTAAAACAGTGGTTGTTTGATAGGATTTCTGCTTTGCTGTTTTGGTTAAAATTTGAGTAAAATCACAGAAGATTTCAGGTCTAGATCTTTTCCTTCTTTTCTTATTCTTTTGTGTGTGTGTGTGCGTGTGTGTGTGTGTGTGTGTGTGTGTGTGTGTGTGTGGTACTGAACACAGGGTTGCACAGCCAGGCGGGTTAGATTGCTTTTTATCCACTGAGCCATAATCCCACCCCTTTTTTTAAAATTTCGAGACAGGGTCTCACTAAGTTGCCCAGGCTATTCTCTGCAACTGGTGATCCTTCTGTCTCTGCCTCAAGTTGCTGGTATTACAGGTATGTACCACCCACACCCTGTCAGGCCTTTTCTTTTTCAATGTAATGAGAGGGGGGGGGGAAGGAGGGAAAGACAGAGGTGGGGGAAAGCTGTTAATTAAAAAGAAAGGCAACATGACATTTTACAATGAAATTAAACCCTTTATTGCAAGGTGACTGGAAAATGTACCATGACATAGAAGAGGAAAAAGTAAATTGGCATCCAGGTCAAAAAATTCAAAGAATAATTCTATAACAACTATGTGTGTATATGTGTGAGTATGTGTATGATTATATTAAATATGCATTTATTTCCAAATACAGAATCTACTGTTTATACTTTTCTTACCTTCAAATTTTAATTTTGCAAACAAGAAACAGTCTTTTGAAAAATTCAAAAGAACTATGCAATATATATAATAATTTCACTTTCCCTATCCTCACCACCTCAGAAGTCAGCCCTGCAGTTTCTCTCCACCCTTCCAGATGTGTTTCTCTGATATTATGAACAAGTTATATGTTCTTTTAAAAGCACAAATGCTGTACATTGTTACTTACTGCGATTGAGGTTTGGACACTGTGTTATGTATCCATTTGGCATAAAGATGATTTTTCCATCTTGGATGATCCCCTTGAAAAAGAAGAGACAAGGAGCAATCACAATTACAGTCACCAGGTCAAGTGGCCCTGTGAGATCTGACAGCGGAACAGGTCAGATTATTTTTGAACAAGACTGATACATTCAAAAAGTGAGTTTGCCCTTTTCACACTAAACTACTCCAAATCATCCACTTCTCAGAATCTTGAGATGTACATTCATTTTGAGAAAGCCACAGTTAGTTACCACTAACTATGCCAATGAGATCACAGCTTCAAGGACCCATCAGTGTCTTTAAACTACCAGACTAAGAAGGCATGGGTGCAATAAAAATCCTCCTCAGCACCCAATCATCCTGGGACATTAAATATTGCTAATTTTCGGGACTTCCTTTAAGAGTGGAAAGAAATAAGTAATAGACTGAAATGATTCTGTTGATTCATTTAGTCAAAGAAATAAAACTGAACATCAGGAAAATTCTGTAACAATCTTCCCTCCTCAACTGAATGAGTAACATTGAGACCTTACTAGTAAATCTTTAGATTTGTTCAACATCTGTCAGATAAAGGTGATCTTTTGAAAACTGTAACTCAGTCTGCAAAAATACCCCGATTTAAGAGAGTCATCAGGGGCAGCATCTGTCAATGAAAATATTGACTTGGCTTTTGGGTTTTTCAAGTTAAATTTAAGATTCTGTTTTTAGGTCTATTTGGTTTTTGTCTTTCTTTTTTTTTCTGATTTGATGGAAGAGAGATTATAGAACAGATGGGAGATGTGGAATCTGGTTTAGAATATTGAGCTTAATCTATAAATAAAATATAGGCTTAAGATAGTGCTGCAAGACGTTCAGAGGGAGTAACATTTAACATTTATGTTCTCATCTTCTAAACAGAAGGCAATCAGCAAAGGCCATTTTCTGCTTATTATTTCAAGATAAAATATTAATTGAAAATATTAATAGAAATAACAGGATCACAGCACCTCTTCAGCCAAATTATATACATTTATTAACCTCTTCCTCTTACAAGATGATACACCGTTTTTGATGACCAGAGGAGGTAGCCTCATGTGGGGAAGGAGTCCCTGCCACTGCTCCTTAAATTAATTCATAATCTCTTGTAAGGGTATACTAGGGAGCAATTCATGGAGCAAAATCCAAGTGAATCAGCTGCTCTCAGGACAGGGCTATTCATTTTTTTCAAAGCAAATTAACTCCTTCAAGAGGTTAGGGCAATTTTAAGCACATTTGGCACTGAAGAAAAATTCAGAGGACCTGGGTTCAGGTTCTAGATCTGACCCTAGTCCACCAGGTGGACTCAGGCAATTAGTCAGCCATCTTCTCTGAGCCTCATGTAACTTCATCTAAAAAAGGAAGTCCTGGATTTAAAAAAAAAAAAAAAAAAAAAAGCTAGCAATCCTAGCAAATTCTGAGTCATTTAAACAGGAATTCAAATTGGTACTATTACATTTTAGATCTCTGCTTCCATTACCTTTTAAGTTTATATGTTTATATATGTAATGTATACATATTATATATGATCAATCCAGACAGACAAAGCTATAGATTTGCATCACAGAATAGACCATCATAGAGAAGTGAATATCGCATTAGAAAACATCTGTCTAATCAGGTTGATCATGGATGAATCCAGAGTAAACAATCATCCTGGTCTGTCCAGGACTTAGGGATTTCCTGGGACATGGGAAATTTCAGTGCTTAAAAACTTGTGAAGAGATTCATAGGCAAACCAGGTCAGCTGGTTGGTCTGGATGATACAGAAGTGGTAAAAAAACACCTGCACCAGGAAAGGGCTGGGTCCATCTATTTTCTGTCTATTTCATTCTTATTTTATCCTCTGTGGAAAGGGCAATCAGAAGTCTGGATTTCATTAGTCATGTTATCAATTACCTTTCAAAAAGGGGCTGGGGCTGGAGCTCAGTGGCAGAGCACTTGCCTAGCATGTGTGAAGCCCTGGGTTCCATCCTTAGCACCACATAAAAATAAACAAACAAAGGTATTCTGTCCATCTACAACTACAAAAAAATAAATAAGAAAAAAAAGGAAAATTCACTGAAAGAGAATATTCAATCCTATTTATCCAATAGCAGCATAAGCTAGGACACAGTAATTTTCCTTGTCTTTTTTTTTTGACCCTATTTATTTCAATTTTGATAAATTTCAAATTGTTCCCCCTACCTTTCCTCTTTCTCTGTATTTCCACTTTTAATCTCTGGCACAACTGTGTAAGCTTAGACCATTAGGTGAAGGTCAATGATGTTGACTTGAACAAAAACAGAAATAAAAGCTGACAGCTTCCCAATGCTCATTAACACAAAAGCTCAAAGCACTTGGTATTTTTTCTGAACAAAGGTCAGAAAGGTCAGCCCACATACTGGCATGAAAACTTGTTCTTGCCAGATAAATCAAGATAAGAATGTTAATTTGATAGTGAATGGATGGAATTTGAAGGTGGGTTAAAAGAAAGGTGGTGATAGAAAACAAATATCAACTGGAACCCCAAGAAGTCTGAGTGTATGCGTATGCATGAGACTACATGCATATGTGTGCATTTCAGCGAGTTCCTCAGCATAAAAACCAGAATGTCTTGCTCTGAATTGCTATGTGGATCATTTAGCAACAGGACACTTGTCAATGAAGAAACACTTGCTAAACTGCAAAAAGGAGCTTTGCAGAGCATGAAACTACAAGCTACAAAGTAGCTCAATGGGACTTAGTTCTCCAAAAACCTATCTATGAAGGCTTCCATAGATGAAAACGTGCCTTCCAGCACTGTAACTTCTCCCAGAGGAGATGAAATAAGTAGAATGTCTATTATTTCTCCACATTTAACCTGAAATGTATCTATACGTAACTGAAATTGCAAATTAGCTAGGTTTATGTCAGCTGACTTTGTTTTATCTCATTTTTTCAGACCAATGTTTTATTTCTTATTTGTCTTGTCAATGTTGCTCAAGCTTCAAGTTCCTTGTGTTCCTAAATACATGAGCATTTGTTTAACATTCACATCCCTGGCCCAGTCCCCAAAGAATCTATTTCAGTAAGGTTGATGTGGGCTTAGGAATCTGCATTTTTCCTGTATTTTCAAAAGCTGTCCCTGATGACTCTGATAAAAAAAATAAAACCCTGCTTTATTGTGGACCCTTGGCTTCTTTTAGAGCAACAGGATTTATTTCCTAAAAGTTCATAGCATTTAAAATATCATCCCAAGCCTACATATGAACAAAGTAAAAATCTCACTGACTTGAAACTGAATAGAAATCAATGGAATTACTAGATTATAAATACCATCAGGACAAAAGATCATATACTTTCATCTCAGTATCCCCTGCTGTTTCCATTGTGGTAGATTTCAAATCATAGGCACTGTAAAATATTTTAAAAGCATCAAATTCTAGAAAAGTATGAATTATACTATATTTCACCACGTAATTTTGAGAGCTGGTAGGGTCACATAGGGCATTAGTTTTTAACCGAAAAGTATCAAAATTAGTTTTTAACCTAAAAATATCAAAATTTTCAGACAGATTAGGAAAGGATAGTCTATTGTTATTTTGGAAAAGATTCTGAGTTGATTTTGAACCTTCAATGAGAACTATTGACCTAGGACCAAGGCATCGGGTCATTTGACCTATGAGACACTTAAGTATCTAAGACTTCAAGTAGCTTTCCTATAGGACATCTTAATTCTAAAACATACACTATATGTCCATGTGTTGCAAAACCAGTTCACTCTCATAAGCTATAGGTAAAAAAAACACAATTCAAGGGAGGCCCATGGCTAATGTGCTAATAAGATAATGCTACAAAGAGGTAAGGACCTACGGGGTAAAAATGGGAGTTCATAACCCACTTGAATCAAAATGTGAAATATGATATATCAAGAACTATGTAATGTTTTGAACAACCAACAATAAAAGTTATAAAAAAAAGAGGTAAGGACCTCTTATCAAAATGAGGCTTTATCTTTATTGTTATAATAGATACTAATCAAACAAACTATAACAAAGTATTTGCATTAGACACATTAGACGTTGTTTGCCAAAATAGTTTTTCAGGGTTGGAAAACAGAGGTGGCTTTAGGTAGCCCAATATTCCCCCTGCAATCTTATTTACAGGATTAATTTGGGGAGCAATCTATTTCTCATTGTTTGTGCAAATGCTAAACCTCAGCAGATCTGAAAATCTTAATAAATCCCTAAGGTATAGAGTCCAAATTAATAAGCTTTTACAGTTAGTGAGAAACCAGCCTCTAGTTCAGAGCAAAGTCTGTCCAAGGAAGTGGGGCGTGACTCTTTTCCTTGGAAAAACCCACAGAGCACTCCTAGGCACATACTCACCCTGCTGAGTTGTTTATCTACAAATAACAGGAGAGATCTTCAGTGTCAGGTGTCCCTGACTCAGTTAGGCTAGGTGAGGACCCATAGCAACCCCCTAGCAACCACCAATCAGCATGAGACAGGGAAAATACTTCAGATGCCAGATGACCTTCCCAGTAGTTTTATGGTTGTTGTTAACATGTTGGGAAACCATATAGTTCAGCATGTACTCCCCTGGTGGCTTAAACCAATCAGTTCAAAGGAATTCCCCTCTTGTACTAACCAATCACTCCTACCCAACTTGTTCCCGCCAATGAATGTACTAATTATGTTTTAGAGTTGTTTCATTATTTTCCCACGGTGTGTGATGACTTGCTAAGAGATGCTATGATTTATGTGAAGTCCCTGCCTTCCCCAAAGAGTGTATAAAACTGCTGCAAACCCTGGGCTCGGGGCCTCTCAGCGTCACTAGTTGCTGTGTGCGCGGAGGACTGAGCTAGCTCGAAATAAAGGCCTCTTTGCTGCTTACAACGATCTCGGTCTCTGGTGGTCTTTTGGGGGTCCCAAACTTGAGCATAACATTAGTACTGATAGATGGGGGGAAATTTGATTGTTTTTTCTTTGTATTTTTAATCCACCTATTGTCACCCTATACCTTCTGCAGTCAGCACCAAAATAGAATTTGCACCAAATAG